TCTGCCAGCAGTTCTTTTATTGGGCTGTTTTCTCAGGGACAGAATTCTAGCCAGTATTTTCAACGTGATTGATATTTTCCTGGTACTTGAAGTAACAAGGAATGATGGCTGAGCCTTCCATTTATTTTTCTTCCTCAATTACTCTAACAGCTGAGATAAGGGGTGCTAAACGGGCTTAATTGGGTTGCCATCATAACTAATGGCTTGGTTTTATCCAAACTAGCATCTTTTAAGTAGAATTCATTTAAATAATCTCACTACATCCTCCATGCGGTCTAGAGCTCGGTTGATCTACAAAAAAAGAGAAAGACCATAAATGGAGGCCTCTCTCTCAGGTTCACATGCCCCGGTGTCCTCAGTTCGGGGGGCCGTTGTTATTCAGTCGTTCAGTCGTCATTCCCGATGGGGCTGGGTGATGCTTGTGTCTTTTAATCAATCCAAGTGTACTTTGCACAATATTTCAATTTGGCCTCCGCTGGTATGGTGGGAACATCCATCACACGGGGTGGAGGGGAAGGCAGGTGGGGCCATGACAGATCCCAGCCTATGGAAAGTCATTAGTGTGGTCTGTCCCACTTCAGTTTCACAGCTGTTCGGCTTCGTTCTCTGTGTCTTCTCGGGAGCCCACACCACATTCTTCACTGACAGACTCAAACCTACTTCACACACGTTGCCAGGTCACGAAAACATGCAGCAGAACTTAGCGATAATTGGGCTTGTTTTGTTGCTAGCATTCCTTTATTCTTCCAAATGAAAATAGATGGGGGATGCAACGCTTCTGAGAATCACAGAGAGACTTACTATGGACTCTAGAGAGAAGGAGCTTTCTAGTTCAGAGCATTTTATATGGGAAGAACGAAGAAAGCCTTGGGAAGAACTAAAAGGGATACTTATATATATATATATATTTCCTTTTAAATATATATTTTAATGATTTTTACAGCGGGGAAAGGGGAGAGAGAGAGTTAGAAAAATTGATGAGAGAGAAACATCGATCAGCTGCCTCCTGCACACCCCCTTTTGGGGTTGTGCCCGCAACCAAGGTACATGCCTATGACCGGAATCGAATCTGGGACCCTTCAGTCTGCAGGCTGACGCTCTATCCACTGAGCCAAACTGGTTAGGGCTCTTTTTGCTTTTAAACTCTGCATAGCATGGGTGCTGGGAGACTTGCACTTATTTGAGGTCCAAAATTGTCTTTGGAGTTTGGAGTCACAATTCAAACCTTCTCTGAGGGCATATGAGATGTTCAGTAATAACTGTGGAGTGCTGAACCCTGTACAGTTTCAGACCAGGAGGAGTGAAAGATGAGGTTGCAGGTGAAAAGGGGCAGGGAAACGAGCCTGATAGAAGCCTGAGCTAAAGGAACTGAGCCAGGAAGCAGCAGCCAGCTCTGTCCTGCCCGCGCCGTTCCCAGGGGGATTCCAGAATCTTAGGAGAAATTGCTTGTGGCAGATTGCAGCTCCTATAAGACAGTGAGACTAACATTTGACCTTCCTGGTGATTACCTGAGCAGGGTGGTCATCACATCGGGACTAGCTGGTGCTAATTGCTGCTGCTTTGTCCCCCTCAGCATCTCCAACGCCGCTCTATCTTATTACGTTCCAGAATGTTCTCGTTCCATCTCGGTATTTTCCTTAACAGTTATTATCTGCCTCCCCCCATCCCCCTGCCTTCCTTTAAAGATAGGCCAGCACTTCTGTGTCCACTGAAGCCTTCGATAAAATCATTCCCGGACTCGGAGGCACTATCTTAACCTTTTCAGAAAATCTGGACCACAGAAGGTAAATGACGATATTCATCTCTAAAGATAAAATGCTTGCCAGCATTAAAGGTCATACCTTATTAATCTATTGGATTAAAGGCTTTACTCTTCCAATCATTTAACAATATAGCCAGTCCTGCTTCAGCAAAACAAAAAGCTTTTCCGTTATAATGAAACAACGTTGTTAGGCAATTTGTAGCTCATTAAAACCGATAACAGTTTACGAAAAATGCCTTGTACACCCTTGAACACTCTGTGGGTTACAATTTAGCTTCTGCCCACAGGGAGGGGCTGGAGTGTCCTTTCCACCCCAGATCCTCTATAGCTTCGGCATTACCAATATTATGGTGAAGGGCGATTCTAGATCTGTCTAGGCTAGCTTTGGGCCCCCAAGGTCCAAAAGGCTTTTTAGTTCTCTTAATCTCAGGACAGGCTGTCAGCCCTTCTTCCAACCGCCCCTCTGCATTCATCATTCCGATCAGGTTCTAGCCTCTAAGAGGTACCTGGAAGGAAGCTCTATGGTTGTTGTGAGCTCTGTTTTACAAGTTCTGCTTCCCTTCTTCCCTCAGAGGAAGAGCAGAGCGTAGGCTTTGCTCTCTTCTCTCTGCAGCCATCCTCTCACTCAGCTTTCCTGGCCCAGCAGCAGCTGAGGATTGTCCATCCCAAGAATGAAGAGATGCTGAGAGTCTATCTCTAGGGTGAACCGGAACTTAGGGAATCCATGAATGGGTATGGCCTTCCCGGGGAAGGCACAGTGGACGGGTACATGCTCTGTGTAAAGTCATTTTTTTTGTTAAGTTTTAAAAAATATATATTTTTATTGATTTCAGAGATGGAGAGAGAGAGAGAGAGAGAGAGAGAGAGAGAGAGAGAGAGAGAGAGAGAGAGAGGAACATCAATGATTAGAGAGAATCATTGATAGGCTGCCTCCTGTATGCTCTACACTGGGGATCAAGCTCACATCCTGAGCATATGCCCCAACCAGGTATTAACTGATCTCCTGGTTCATAGGTTAATGCTCAACCACTGAGCCACACTGGCTGGGCGGTTAAGTTTTTATTGAAATAGAAATGTTTCTATAAGCACAGATGGAAGAATTTCCAAAATCGGGATATACCCATATAATCCAGTTTCACAAGATCAAGAAGCCCATCCACAAGTTTCTTCTGGTGGCAAGTAAGCGGCATGAGTCAAACCCCTCGGCATAGCACACAGGGCATTTCAAGGCATGTTTCACCACCTGTCAGCCAGGCATTGTGATAGGAGCTCGCATTTAACGGGAGACCTCGTTCCAACCTTACAACAGCCAGGCGCCCACCTGCTCCTCTGGCCTGGTGTTGGCATATGGGGCCTGCTGTGCCAGGGCCAGTGCTGACCCATATCCCCACATCCTTTCAGGCTTCTATGAGAATGAGTCATCCTTTTTCAACTTATCCTTCACCACTCTGTTTAGAGGTCTCCCCTCCCCACCAAGAAACTCCCTGACTGCCCCGAGGCTGGACGAGTATGTTCCTATCGCCATCTTTTGTTAACTATTCCCCGAATAACTCCTTATTCACTGAGCACGAGGACCACGTGTTGTTCATCTGTGAGCCTCCGGGACCAAGCACTGGCCCAGCTCCCTGAGGGCGCATGTCCCCGAGCTGCCCCATCCCCATCCGGGCAGTTTCCTCCGCAGGAACCGGTGAGACCAACTTGCTCCATCTCATGACGTGGCTGGAGTTTGAGATGCTTAGAAGACATGATCTTCTTACACATATGCAATTGAATGTCCACATATTCACTCGCAGCGGCTACAAGGCTTCCCTTCCTGCCTCTTGCCTCCCATCCCGGGCTCCCTTCTCATTTTGCTTCTTTTGCTCTATGCGCCCAGGCAGCCCTACTTCCCGACCTGCCACTGACCCAAGCCCCCACTCAAGGCTGATTCATCCTGAAGCTGCCTCTGCCTGTTGTGTGTCACACTGATGCTGCGCTTCCTAGAAACGTGCTTTCCGCCCTGGTGTGTGTGTGTGTGTGTGTGTGTGTGTGTGTGCCCCACCTGTGGGATGGGCTCTGAGAACTCAGTTCACCATTGCTGAGTGTAATGAAGGCTACATAGAGAGCTTACAGGTAACCCTTTTGACCTGTAGGTCTCACACTGAATTTGCAGCTTCGGACGCCTGGCTTTTAGGAATAATAGGGAGAGCTGACCTTCATGTGTGTTTGACACAATAGACAGCTCGGCTTAACATATCCCCCAAACAACTCTGATCCCCCGCCTCAGCCAATGGCAAATCCCGCTAGTTTTGTGTCTGAAATGCACAGAACATCCCCATGACCTGATCCCTTTTAATGCCCTCACCTATTACTGGTCCAAGCCACCCTCTTGCCTAAATCACCATCAGTTTCCTATGAGGTGTGCCCACTCCTGCCCGTGTCCCCCACAGCTGGTCTCAACACAGCCACGGAATGGTCCCGGTGTTTGAACGCTACTCAGAACTTGGCCCATTTCACAGTGAGTGGAAGCCGAGGAGTATGGGGGCGGCCCCCTCCCTTCATGGATCACCCACTCTCTCTGCTCCGGTGTTTGCTTTATTCATATTGTCACTCACTCTCAGGCTCTCTGGGGCTGCCGAGTTAAAACGATCGCACCCTGGCATCAGTGATCTCATTTCCCGATTTCCCTGTTTCACACATAAGTAGTATGCTTTCCATTAAAAAAAATGCATTATGTATTTTACTCAATTTTCTTCCTTTCTCCAAAATCATGCCAGCTGCCTGGGGATACTCATTTTTGTCTGTTCACTGCACACCCCCAGCATATAGAGTGGGGTCCAGCCCGTGGATGCTGACTGCTAGCTTTTGAATGAATGGCAATTGTTTTGTGAGTATGAAGCTAGCGGAGGGCACTGGGTACTCTCCAGGGCAGCATGTCATGATCGGCTGTGTACTGCGGGCACCATTCAATCAACAGGGTTGTGGTCACCTGGGACCCCAAGATGAAAGACATCAATGGGGCTCCCTCACCTCAGTGCTGGCCTGAGTTGGAGCCCAGTGAGCGCTCTGCTCCGACCTCTAGCACGACAAAGACTGAGAACTCCAGGACTTGGCTCGCTGTGTGCTTCCACATTGGCTTTCCGTGCCCCCCCCCCCACTTATATTCTTCCCCCAAACACCTCCAGGCATATCAGAGTAAATGAAAAATATATTTACAACTGAAAAGCATGTGCTCGATGGCATTGGAAAACGTGCTCACCACTGTCGATGGCCAGGAAGAGGGCAGTGTAGACGCTGTTGTGGACGAAAGGGGACTCGCGGTCCAGCACGGCGGTGGTGTCCACAGTCCCGTTGATGGGGTTAATGTCCAGCCAGCCTGCTGGATCCTTGTAGACAGAATACCTGAAAAAGCCCCAAATAGCACCGGATTACATTCCGGACAGATTCAAGACGTTTTCGGAGAGCTGGTACAAGCTCCTGTGTTGAGTGCCCGGTAATCCTAATCTTAACACAAATCCAAAAATATCATTACAGCTACAAGGTTCATTCAGGAAGTAATGGCACAGTGGAGGGTCTGCTCCACGCTAAGCATCATGACAAGCCTGTGAGGAGGGGACTCTTCTCTGCCCATCTCCCAGATAGGCAAAGTTCACAGCTCCCTCCTGAGTCCAAGTCCAGTTTTTAAAAATAAATATACATTTTTATTGATTTCAGAGAGGAAGGGAGAGGGAGAGAGAGATGGAAACATCAATGAGGAGATGATATTGATGAGCTGCCTCCTGCACTCCCCCCTAACTGGGGATCGAGCCCACAACCCAGGCATGTGCCCTGACAAGGAATCAAACTGTGACCTCCTGGCTCATAGGTCGATGCTCAACCACTGAGTCACATGGCTGGGCCTGTATTTCATTTTGACAGCGATTTTATACGTCTACCTGCAAACCCTACCTTCTAGGACTCAGTTGAAATGTCTCCTCCTGGTTAAGTGTATGAGATCCCCAGTTAGAATTAGTCATTCTCTCTCTTAGGTCCTTGCTGGGTACGTGCATAGATTAAAATGCCTGTTAGAGCATAATGTGGACTCTTGTGGGTCTGCTGCCTTCTCTGAGCTTCCTCTTATTTTTTTTACTCCACACCCAAGGATATTTTTCCATTGATTTTTAGAGAAAGTGGAAAAGAGAGGGAAAGACAGAGAGATACATCAATGTGAGAGAAATGTGAGAGAAACACATCCATTGGTTGCCTCTTGCATGTGCCCAAACCAGGGCCTGGACCAGGGAGGAGCCTGCAACTGAAGTAGGTGCCCTTGACCAGAATCGAACCCGAGACCCTTTAGTCTGCAGGCTAATGCTCTATCCACTGAGCCAAACCAACCAGGTCATTTTCTGAGCTTGTTGATTTCAGGAAGAGGTAGACTTGGCTGAATTACTGCCTGTTTATTATGCCTGGTTTTGTGCTGAATAATTTAGCATCACATTTATTTTTGTGGTTCACAATTACCAAATAAAGTTGGTATCATCCCTATTTTAAAGGTAAGATAACAAAGATTCAGAGAGGCTTAGCATTTTGCCAAAAGCAGCGCAGCTAAGAAGTGGCAAAGCTGGAATTCAGGACGAGCGTGCCAGATTCCAGGCATGTGTGGGTCTGAACCAGGAAACAGTGTGTTACCTATGCCCAGGGCCAGGCGTTGGCTATTCTGCATCCCCAGGGCCAAGATGAATGCCTGGCATATGGAGGCTGCCTAGTAAATATGAGTGCGATATTTGATAAAATATGATAAAAATGTGAGTTTCTCTTTCCGTTGCAACAATCACAGAAACAGAAAATGCAAAGAAAGGTAGCATTTGTTTCCCATCTTGTAGGTAGCAAGTTCACCCTTGATCTAGGAGTGGTTTGTGGTGGTTAAACACATTTGAAATAATGAAACATTTAAACAGATCACAATTTATTTTCTGATTTCTCAACTCAGAGTTTGGAATATAAATAAACACAGAAATAATAGAGCTCTTCATGTTGGCAATGAAACAATGCTCTTTGTTTCTCCCTCTGTCATGTTTTGGTCTTGTGATGCTGCGGTTTTGCGGTCCAGTGAACATGTTTGCTTCCTCTCCTGTGTAAGGCATTGTTGTATGCTGTTCAAGGCTGGGGTGTGATCTTGGGAGCTGTCCCCTGACAGCAGTGCGCAGTGGGTCAGGCCTGTGCGCATCACATTCCCCAGGAAAGCAAAAATGGGGGTGGCAGTGGGGGAGGGTGGTTCACAGGCAAGCATCTCGCTGTTTTCTTCCTTACCAAACAATCAGGCATCCATTGTTGTGCTATTTCCCTTCAATTTTGTTTCCCTCTGTTATTTCATTTGGTGCCTCTTCCCATTGGAGGCTTTGATGCCAGCGTGCCACTCCTATCAGAATCCCAGCCATGGAGAGGACCAGGCCGTGGAGTTTACTGAGCACCCCCAAGTGTCCAGTGCTGGTGACGCTGTGTCCATGCAAGTCCATCCAAATGAAGAGTGGGGTGGATGACCCTGAATGTGGGGGTCACCCTCCCCAGCCTCGGAGCTTTCTCCCCAGAGGGGAGAGGCAGCTCATGGCCTCCAGCCAACCTGCTCCTCCGCTGCCCGGCTCGTGGGCTCTGCTGTCAGTTCTGCCCTTTTGACCAACTGGCCTGGCTCTCTGTGTAAACTTCTGACATTTTCAAAGCTGTCTTTTTAATAAACCTTTTGGTGTAAAAATACCAGCGTGTGAGTTGTTTTCTGTGCTTCTGGGCTTGAAAAAATGCATATGGCTTATTAAATTGGAATTTCCGGGCAATTTATCTGTAATGTGAACTTTGCTTTGTTATGGGGGAAGGAAAGCTGAATTAAAACAGGACTCCTTTCAGTCTGTAATATAGCTTCACAGGGGCTGCCTGAGTGCTTGCCAAAGCTCAGCAGCTTCCTAGTGTCAGCCAGGAGATGCCAGGCAGGCTCATTAGTGGGATCGGGCAGTGGGGGATGTGGGGATGGGGCACCCAACCACATGCCCAGGCCCTGCACCCCTCCTGGGAAGCGGGGTTACACTGTCACAGGCCCCAGCAGAGCAGGAAGGGAGCTCTCAGGAGAGGCCAGGCAGGTGTTGACTGGGAAGAACTTGCAGAGCAGCGGCTGCGGCTCAGCCCTCAGGGACCCTGGTCGTGGTGGGAGAAGGAGGAGACTCAAAGGTTTGACACGGCCAGTCATGCTCTGCGCTGTGGGAACCCATGTTTGTTCAGCATTGACACACAAACCATATGGGTTAGTATGGCCTGCCTTTTATTTTAGATTAAAAATGTTACAAAGTAATATAGTGCAATTAGTACAGGAGTAGCCAAATGGATCAATGCCATGTAATAGAGCACTGGAAATGGGCCAGTTACAGATAGATATAGAGAGAGACATCTAAATATATACCTAATATATATTAGCCAGAGATCTATCAATCTATTTATCTACTCATCCAGATAGATTTTGTAGATAATTATAAAAGGTTTGGAAAGTTATTGTTTGATGTAAAAGTAGCATGCTAAATTGTTTGGGAAAGCTAGACTTTTCAAAAAAACTGTGTTGACTCACTGTCTGTTTTTTCTTTTTTTTTTTGGGGGGGCAGTTGGATATCTTTGTGATGCCTTTTGACCCTGGGGCATGTTAGAATATATGTAAATGCACAGTGAGGTCTTAGTGTTTGTTCACAGACTGGTAGCATGGATTACCGGGGAGCGAATTTGGGTTGAGGGGGCTCAGAGGGTCTATCAGAGGAAGACTCCAGGATCCCAGGGCTTTGCAGACATGCCACAGTAGTGGAAGCTGGTCTATAGCAAACACTAATTGGGGACCATCAGCAATATCCTGGCTGATATTATAGGGAGGATTGGTTTTTTTGGGACCAACATAGGAGCCTCACTGCAGCTCATTCTCAACAAGGGGTCAGTGAGGATGAGAAAGACTATGAAAGTCTGGACAATGCAAACGAAGGAAAGGGAAGTGCAGAGGGACTTCCTCATCCTGCTCAGGAAGCAAACGGCCCTGCAAAACCCGGGAGAGAGGAAACAGCAGGCGCCTCTCAGCTCCCCATTAGTTCCATCCCAGCGGCCCCGGTGTCAGATGGAATACTTGCATGACTGACTCACATCAACCACTTTATTTAAAAACAGAACTAGGAAGTTATAGAGTTCTCAGGGGAAGGACATACACTGGTTTCAAATAGTGCATGTGGTGGCTCTGAGTATAAAGGAAAGGGCACATTCCAATCTTCTGACAGAAACACAGCAGAGACTGGAGGGCCAGTGAATTCCTGAATCCCAGTTCCAGTAGATGCCACAGCCCATCACGGGGCCCATGGAGATGCCAGATACTGCGTTCTTTCCTTCCCCTGGGGAGCCAGCGCAAAAGAAAGCAGTCTTAGTCACAGGGAGGACTTCCCAGGGACGCCGAGATGCCACAACCAGTAGACGTGGACAAGAAGAGCTGTCCGGAGAGTGGCCTGAGGAGGACCGCCTAGGGTGGGGAAGATGAGGAGAGAGCTGGCCTCGCCTAGTGTGGGGCTATGACCTTCTGTGGCCCAATAACAGCTGGAGATCGGGGAGGAGCTGACACCTCTAGACCCTTCCCTGGACACTCCCTATCCCTCCACCTCATCCCTCCTGGCATCTCAAAGCCCCTGGTGGTCTTCTGCACGAGGCTCTATTGCTTCTCCAATTCTGGCATTCACCAGGCTTGTTGAGTATGATCGGGCCTTTTCATTTTTACCAGGTACTCCACCCCTACAGATGAAGCTTGGAGCTGAAACCCTGGGGCTAGATCCTGTGGCTGAGTTTTCCTTAGGACACGAGTGGGAATGTCCCACCCTCCGGCCATAAGGCCCGCAAAATCATTTGGTCTGGCCTCGCCAAGGCAGTAGGGTTGATTAATGTGCTTGAGAAAATATAGCAGGCTAATTTTTAAGTTGATAATTTTGTATGTCATGTGAATGAAGTTTTAAATATCTAAATGGTCCTTGCAGAAAAAAGGTTCCCCACCCCTGCCTTAGGGGGATAATTAGGGAACCAATGTTTGGAATCTACAGAATGATAGCATTTTCTAACCCCCTTTCAAACTATTAACATTTCCTTAAAATCACATTTCTGTTTACAAAAAAATCATACATATTTGAGAAAGGTTTAACGTCATATAGCACATGTATACGAATTTAGAAATTCTTTATCATTAGAAATTCTCAAATAATATTGGTGTAAACTGTTTTTTTTATTTTTTATTTTTTTTTATTGGAAGGCTCATATTCACAACATTTAAGTCAAACTTAGAGACTTTCCCTGAAACAAATGACTCGGGTTGATAAAGATATAAAGAATAACAGGTCTGAAAATGATTTACTCTAAAAAACAGCCCTTCA